ATATATATATATATATTAATTTCAATATATACATATATATAAATTATTATTTATCTATTACATACGATACGCCTTTTATTCAAATAATAGAAAAAATAATAGAAAAAAACAAAGAATGAATAAAATTTATTCATTTTATTTTTATTTGTTTTTATAAAATTTTTATTCAAAATAATATATTAGCAAAATCATTTATTGCGACTTGTAATCATAATATTACGCTAATCGATGTACAGCATTTATCTTATAAGATTTCCATATGTGTTACTACCTCACAATACTATTATAAATAAATGTGAAATTTAATTTGCATTACTTTTATATTTTTATATATAATGAGCAGATGTAAAATATTTCTCATTCGTGTGCGTAATATATTGGTTTTTGTATTTATACTGATTTTACACATATCAAATGCAAGAGAGACAAAGATAGAATGATACTCTCTCCTTGTCAAGCTGTCAGTATGTTACCACGAAAATTTCCCCATGAGTATAGATCTAGTGAGATTTGTTCATCCCAAATATTACATAAAAAGAAGTTACGTAGCTTCGTGAAATATTTTTTAATATATTCTTTATATAATAAAGCAGGGAGACAAAGAGTCAAATTTTGCATTATTGCTCTTAAAAATTTATAATAAATTAAATACGATCTCGTGGCTAACCCAACCTTACCCGCTGCTAGCTGCGCATCTCCCCAAGTTATATTATGAATTTTATATTTATCTTTTTTCCAAAAAATCGATCTTTGTCTCCCTGCGGACAATCCTACTGATTAAGAATATCGTAAATTTAATAAGATTCATTAAGTATTTTGGCTAATATATGGGATGAACGAATCCGTAATTCCCGGCCGGCCGATAGGCGTCTCCACCATGTCGCCTGTCGACCCTTAAATACGATCTTGTGGCTAACCCAACCTTACCCGCTGTTAGCTGCGTATCCCCCCAAGTTATATTATGAATTTTATTTTCATCTTTTCTCCAACAAATCAATCTTTGCCGCCCTGCGGGCAATCCTACTAATATCGTAAATTTAATAAGAATATCGTAAATTTAATAAGATTCATTAAATATTTTGGCTAATATCTGGGATAAACAAATCCGTAATTCCCGGCCGACCGATAGGCGTCTTCACCATGTCGCCTGTCGACCCTTAATGTGCCCAAACGATTCCCAAGCGATTGGTATAACTGATAATAAGGAAATATCAAATTTGTCTGCTAAATAGATGGAGGTACTTGTATCACTAGACAAGACGTTATCACGGACACAGATTAATAGACAGATCGCCAAAGGCCTGCCTAAAGAAGAGACCGCCATCTTCGTGCGATAGACTTTGCCCCTTACCGACACACTTTGCCCCTGGTTCGAGTCCGTGCTAAATTTCGTAGACTTGAACCAAAAGACTTTGCCCCTGGTTCGAGTCCGTGCTAAATTTCGTAGACTCGACCAAAAGACTTTGCCCCTGGTGCAAGTCCAGGTTAAATTCGTTTGACATTACCAACAGACTTTGCCCCTGGTGCGAATCCAGGCTAATTGATCATGAGACCAATTTGAGAGATTTGGCCCCCGTTGTGTGTGTGTGTGTGTGTGTGTGAGAGAGAGAGAGAGAGAGAGAAAGAGAAAGAGAATATTTTACATATGCATATATATATATATATAAAATTTATTAAATATAAAAAATATATTTTTTACACATAAAATGTTTTTTTATTGAAATAATCACGATTTTAAATGTGATATAACACAGTGTTCAAAAATTTTTAATTAAATTTTATTAAAGAAAATTACTTGAAATTTTTTACATTAAGAATTTAAAGGCTCCTTATTCTCTTGTAGAAATTTATCACTACGCCAATTAATCACTTATTTCGAGTATTTAAAATACTATAATATACAGTAATTTAAGTATTCGAAATAAAAGTGATTAATTACTCGAAATAAGTGATAAATTGGCGTTACTAGTAATAAATTTCTATAAGGGTTGAAATAAAGTATAAGAGATAAATAGGCTATATGTGAGCCGTATGCGAAATGTGAGATGTAAGACGCATATTAAATTTAATTTTTCGATATAACTTTCAAAAATGTACACGAGGTACAAAAAATTAGCTTGGACATTTGTAAGACTTAAAATTGGGATTAATTCTCAATTCTATTAATTAAATTTCGATATAACACACCTTACATCCGCGCACGGCTCACATATAGCCCATTTATTAGTGCAATTTTTAAGTTCCTTATTTTTCAAAGTTCACCTTTTTACGTTATCAAATATTTTTGGTACGTTTTCAAGAATTTTATATTTTTACTTACCGCAGTTTCTTATCCAAATGTAAAATCTTTTATCGCAGTCTATAAAAAATTGAAACAATTTACAATTTTATGATATAATATTATTATTATTACAATTTCTATATATATGCACATCTGTCAAATATCGTGATTTATTTTACATTATTATTATCTATTTTAATAAAAAAAAAAAAAAAAAACACTTGCAACAATCAAAAATAAACCGCCTGCCGCGAACGGAAAATGCCAAGAAAGCACGCAATTTCCGCGAATCTCGTAATTTTTTCAACGAAATTGTAAATTCTTCATATCATTGCACAAGTATAATTCACAATAATAATTTTCAGTAACTACGATAAAAAATCGTATACTGAAAACCGCAAACGAAAGTGCAATGGGAGTAAGAGTAAAGTCTGTGATAAAATTAATTGGCAATAGAAAATTAATAATTTTCAAATAGAAAAATTTTGAAATTACCGAGGATTTACAAATAATAAAGTAAAAATATTAAATAATTTATGTTTTCGAATTTTGCTCGCGGAGAGGATCTTTAAAACAAGATTTTTAGAAGAGAGGACCTTTAAAATATAAACAGGCAAAAACGTTGGAAAAATTAAAGCGCGCGTTTAAACAGATAAACGCAATGAAATAGATACGCAATTGTTTTTACTTATCGCTGTAAGCTCACAAGCTTCTGACGTGCTATACACTTTTATATAATATATACAGGGTGTCCGGTAACTAACGGACCAATGATTAAGGGCGGATTCTCTGGCCAATTTGGAGACGATTTTTCCTTAGCAAAAATGTTGAGAAGTCAATAATTTTCGAGTTATAAGCGATTGAAAAAAATAGGTTTTTTGAAAACTAAACGTTTTGGAGTTAAAAGTCTAACATAATTACATTCTTCAGTTAATTTCAGGTAGAGTTTACTATAATAAAATTTTAATTTAAGGCTTAGTTATAAAGATATATAATGACAAAGATTGGAAAGTTGTAAAAAATGATGACCTTTTTCGACATTTTCGCTGAAGAAAAATCGTTCCCAAATTGACCAAAGAATCCATTTGTAATCATTGGTCTGTTAGTTACCGGACACCCTGTATATTGGACACGAGTTTCGTTTGTTTCAGATTCTCGAGAGTTGAAGTAGGAACATACGAGTATCATATATCGTTTGTGACTTGCCGAATGAAAGCAAGACAGAGAGCGAACGAGATGATGAGCTTAATAGCTCATAATGTTATAAATAAATAAATAAAAAATTATAACCTGACCTACTAGTTATTGAATCTTTTTTTAATAAAATGTTTCATTATTATTATCATCTAAGTCTAAGTCGTTTAATTACTTTTTAGTTTTTTAATAATTAATTTAATTTATTCTAGTCATTTTTATATGAGAAAAATAATATCACGTATACGTTTTATAATGAATTAATATATTTCGGGAACCGAATTATATATTCTTAATAATATAAAAGTGTTCAAAAATTATATTTGACTTTTAATTTTAATTATTTTTTAGCAAAGAGTTCCGAAATCTCTTACACACATAATGGGGATTTTTTTCATCCATATAATTCGCAATTAAGTATATATGTTAATTATTAATTTTAATAAAATAAAAATTAAAATTAAAGGTCAAATATAATTTTTAAACACAAATATATTAAATTAATTATAAAACGTATACCCATGATAGTATTTTTCTCGTACAAAAATAATTAGAGTAAATTAAATTAATCATAAAAGATTAAAAATTAATTAAAGAATTTAAACTTATATTTTATATAATAATAATAAAACATTTTATTACGTCAAACCGTCGTGAAATAATTAAATAAAATTTGCTAGTTACGTCAAAGTCAAGTTTTCTAAGCTTATAAAACATTTTATTAAAAAATAGATTCAATAAATATAAGTACATGTTATATATATACTTATATTTATTGAATCTGTTTTTTTTATAAAATGTTTTATTATTATCATATATAATATAAATTATTTAATTATTTTTTATTTTTTTATGAGTAATTTAATTTATTCTAGTTATTTTTGTACGAGAAAAATACTATCACGGGTATACGTTTTATAACGAATTAAATATATTTATGTTCAAAAATTATATTTGACCTTTAATTTTAATTTTGTATTTTATTGAAATTAATAATTAACATATATACTTAATTGCGAATTATATGGATGAACAAAATCCCTATTATGTGTGTAAGAGATTTCGGAACTCTTTGCTAAAATAATTAAAATTAAAAGTCAAATATAATTTTTGAACACTTTTATATTATTAAAAATATATAATTCGACTCTCGAAATATATTAATTCATTATAAAACGTATACGTATTAGTATTTTTCACATATTAAAATGATTAGAATAAATTAAATTAATTATTAAAAAACTAAAAATTAATTAAACGACTTAGACTTAGATGATAATAATAATGAAACATTTATTAAAAAATAATTATAATAGGTCAGGTTAATATTTTATTTATTTATAACATCATAAAATTCTGTCCTTTCCGAAATACGCGAACGCTACGAAAAGATAAATTTCGTACATGCCGCCGGACGAGTTCATGAGCATGAGACGCTCTTATCTTGAGAACGTATTAATAGTTACTGCATTGACCACTACTACGATATGGCGCTGAAATCAGTGAGAAATGCTGGTCTCTCCTTCATCCAGACCTTTGGCGATCTGTCTATTAATCTGTGACGTTATATAACCTCAATACGAGGTTGAAGACGTTATTTCACCAACCGGTGATCAAATTTGAAAAACCCTCACTTGTATCACTAATCTGATATTAATCCAGTATTACAAAAAAGTAGAAAGTAAGCAACAGTGAAATTACAATAAAATGCAAAATGAAGAGATAATACAATTGCGTGGACTGAAGAAGAAACTTGTAGAAAAAGCGATTGAATTAAAAAATAAGCTAAAAGATCATGAGAATGGCAGATATTCATTAATTAATACCAAAATGTAATTAATTATTAATTAATTTCAATATGTAATTAATTATAATTAATTAGTTTAGTTATTAATAGTTATGAATATATAATTTATTCGAATTTTATTATAATTATTTATTAGAATTAATAATTATTAATTAATTTCTAGCACATTGCCTGCTGATAATGAAGATCACAAACCTTCGAAATCGCAATCTGACAAGTACAGAATTAAATTGTGCGAGATTGCTGGTCAGGTAACAGGAATAACATTTAAAGAGGTCCATAAAAGATGGTCACAGGATGATACTTTCATTTATACAGCTAAAGTAGTGACAAAAACAATTTCCTTCTGTCTTGAATTGACAGTAGATTCCATGGTATGTGAAAATTCAATCTTTTCTGTGACCAATTTTTTTAATATATATTTTATATATTAATATATTTAATATATAAGTTTTTCATCCTTTAATTTTTTTGTCAGCATCTAGATGATCTTAAAATCAACAATATAATGTGCCATTTTACAGACATCGATAATTGTTACCTATTTGAAATATTTCCATGGTTCGATAAGATGACAAAGATGAAAAATTTTTCTCTTCTTATGTCTGGTAAACAATTATAATAATACGCACAGTAATATTAAGTTGTAGAAGTTTTAATACTAATAAGTCACCTTTCTTTCAGCATTTTCCGATTACAATAAAAATCATATTGTCAGATCTAAGATTGTAGACAATTTAGAATCGAAGAAATATGCAACTATAGAAGAAAATACTCAGGAAAATGGAGGTATATTATTGCATATGTATTCACCCACTAATACAAAAGAAAATTATATAATATTTCAATGGACACTGAAATTTATGGAGCCTACATGGCGCATTGAACATTTCTTTACAGTAAAATCCACAGAAATAGGTAACGATTAATAATATATTTTTCTTAATAAATAGAAATTATAATATAGTAATTAAATAGTTAAAAAATATATTTATTAATTTAGGAATAAAATTTTCCGAAGAAAATCGAACCTTATTAAAAGAATTTTGTGATATTGGCTTGACAAAGGATAAACTTAACCAACTATGGCATAGATTGTGCAGTGCCATTGATATTTATGCTAAAGATATAAATATATAATAAAATTTATTTCTCGAAATATATCTATATTTAAATATTTTTATATAAATTAACTATTCATTATTTAATTAAGTATAAACATTAAAAATCTATAATATATCTATCAATATCAATGAATAAATAATTATGTATCTATATTAAAGTGTAAAAATTCTTTATCTTTTTATGTAAATTTTTTAAAGAAATTCCAATAAAAAAAATTTGCCAATTAGAGGAAATTAGATTATATTAATTTATTTCGAAATTTTTATTTATTAAATTATTGTTTTAAATTATATGTAATTTGTTCCGTATTTATTTTTTAAATTATGCAAACAGCAATTTAATAAAAGAATATTTATAATAATGTTAAGTATCTCGTAAACTATTCACTTTTCCGTTATAATACTCATAATTTTTTATGTCGAATGTTGCGGACTCGATTTACATAAAAAAATTATGATTTCAAAAAACTAAAATGACCTTTAAATGACCTTAAAAATGAAAAATTTAAATTGTAAATTAAAATTATTTCTTTCTTTCTCAAAACTAACAATTTTAGTTCAAAACTTTTTCTAAAATGCAACATTTTTTAATTATTTAAACTGATTTTCCAAAATGGAACATCCTGTATATAATATATATATTTTATACATGTGTGTGTATATATATATATATATACACACACATATATATATATTACACTAATGGATCTACTACATATAGGAGACACAATAATACAAATCCCCAGTGGCGCAATCGGTTAGCGCACGGTACTTATAAGACAGTAATTCTGTGAGCAATGCCGGGGTTGTGAGTTCGAGCCTCACCTGGGAAAATTTTTTTTTAATTTATATACCATAATTGTTAGTGATATTGTTCATTATAATTAATAATAATATGGACTGGGATAACAGTTAACAATTATATATTACACATTCACACAGAAAGATAATAAATCATAATAATAATAATACTAATCATAGATACAAAATTATTTAAAAAATAAATATTTAATACTTATAAACAACAGAACTATATTTTACTATTGAAGAGCATTCAAAATTAGAGAAATTTATTGAAGTTGAAATATATTCAATTCTATATTTAAATGTCTACAAACAATAAAAAATATTGCAGCATTATAATATATATAATTTTCCATACAAAAATTTGACAAAAATTTTATTAATGAGTCTCACGAAATGTACAAAAAACGAATGTTCACTATAAAAAATAAATATATTTTAATATCTTAACTCTCTGATACTGCAGCTTGCTCTTCGGATATACTCTCTTCAGCAGCACTTTTCTTTTTAATTCTGCGATTTCTCCATGCTCTCATGTATGTTGTTGGATGAATAGGTAAGAATCCAGCAAGTCCCAATAAATCCGCAACAGGTTTAGATACCTGTGCTCCTTTAGCGACCCAATATTGTATTCTTTCATAATTGAACGACACTAGTTTCTCATTGTATACATTTGGAATAGGATCATATACACCAACTTGTTCTATCGGTGGTGCTTTTTGTTGTTTATTAATCTACAATATAAAAAAATATAATATAAAAGATAATATATAATATATAATACGATATGTAATACTATATATATATATATATATATATATATATAAAAATATATAAAACAATATAATATATAATACAATATAAAATATAATATAATATAATATATAATAATATACAATATAATAATTATACAGGATGTTTCCAAGTTAATTAGCTAAATATAAAATACGAATGTAGGACCTCAAAACAAACAAATAATTTATCTGGGAGTTTGCTCGCAAACGCTTCCTTGAAGAGATATTGACTTTTGAAATTTTGAACTATAGGAATGAATAATGTTGAAGTGTCATCATTTTGAACAAAATATTTAATTATTACATTAAACAGCTTATTGTAAAACAATAAAGAGACTAAATTAAATTATTTCGATATTAAAACTATAAAATATATATATATATATATATATATATATATATATATACATATATATAGGGTGTCACTTAATTGGCACCCAATATTTATATAGCGATATTCCTCGTGGAAAACTGAGTCGAAAAATCCTGTACCATTTTTTTCTGTAAGGCATAATAAAGTAGTAATTATTCAGTAATGTATTAACGTACTGAATAATTACTACTTTATTATGCCTTACAGAAAAAAACTAATTATATGTATAGCGATATTCCTCGTGAAAAACCGAGTCGAAAAGTCCTATATCATTCTTTTCTATAATGCATAATCACTATTTTATTATGCCTTACAGAAAAAAATAGTACAGAACTTTTCGACTCAGTTTTCCACGAGGAATATCGCTATATAAATATTGGGCGCCAATTAAGTGACACCCTGTATATATTTATATTATATTTTTTATTATATGTGTGTGTGTGTGTGTGTGTGTGTGTGTGTGTGTGTGTGTGTGTGTGTGTGTGTATATATATATATATATATATATATATATATAACATAAATATAATATTAACATAAACCCATGTTTTTTAGCTATATTTTTTCATCATTCTTATTTTATTATTTATATTTCTAAAAATAATGTTATTGTAACTTATGCTGTCAAAAACCGGAAAAATGTGAATATAATAAAAAGTTTCTAATATCAATAAATTTCTTTTATATATTATATTTTGTTATTATTACACACACACACATATATATATATATATATATGTGTGTAATAATAACAAAATATAATATATAAAAGAAATTTATTGATATTAGAAACTTTTTTATTATATTCACATTTTTCCGGTTTTTGACAGCATAAGTTACAATAACATTATTTTTAGAAATATAAATAATAAAATAAAAATAATGAAAAAATGTAGCTAAAAAACATGGATTTATGTTAACTCTAATTTTCTCTTAAATAATCAGGCCAACTTACGTCCATTATAACAACGTGATAAAATGGTCGGTTAGTGCAACCAAAACGGACGAGTCGTATCGCCTTAGCGAATGGCGTAATAATACCTGTTCCAGAGGCAGGATGCATAGGCATTCGAGGCATGTTTATTGATAAAAAAAAAGGTAATTACCGTCTTCACGATTATTCAAGTAATTACTTTTTGCATTTATGTTTATAGTGCGCAAGAAAACTTGAAAAGCATTTGAAACATAACCTTATATAAAGAGGTGGATTGAAACATTTGAAACATAAAACGCTTTATAGAGTGCCAACTCTGCAAGAACATTGAGAAGATTGAGACAAAGATTGTAACGCCGCTAGTGACAAACAGACTAAATTACCAAAGATATGGGAGGGGGAATAATTTTATTTTCTTCAAATATCGAGGTTCAATTTAGGGTTAAAGTAAAAAAAGTTATAAAAATAAAATGACCAAAAGTTAATAATTCACGAGATATTTTATACTTTTTAACAGGGTTGGGTAAGTTAATAATTTTTTTAAACTAATTAAAGTTAGTTGCTTATAAAATTAATTTAGTTAAGTTAAAAATTACATGAACAAAAAATTAATTCAGTTAAAGTGGAGTTAAGATTAAATTAACTGAAGTTAAATTAAAAGTTAATTTTTAAAAATATTTATATTAAATTAAAATTTTTATAATCCTTTTAAAATTTATAATAACAAAGAACAAAGAATATTATCATTTGTTAAATAAGAAATTTTGATTTTTATGTAAAAATATATTTTTTGGTAATTACAATTGATGATAAATTAATATAAAAATTAATACCTTAATTTTAAAATAATGCGTTTATAACTTATACATGAGGAAATTTCTTTTTTAAAAACAAAATTTCCGCATTCGACAATCGCTTACGTTCCGACATCCGACTGGCCTAAGGCCCGAAATCCAACCGGCCTAAGGTCCGTTTTACAATACGTATGTCGCAGTCGACATGAGTCGACGTATGTCGCAGTCGACATACGTATTGTAGAACGGGCCTTACTGCTTAGGCCGGTTCTACAATACGTCGTATGTCGCAGTCGGATGTCGAAGCGTAAGCGATTGTCCAATGAGGAAGATTCTTTTTCGGAAACAAAATTTCCGCATTGAACAATTGCTTACGTTCCGGCATCCAACTGCGACATACGACGTATTGTAGAACGGGCCTTACTCTTGTACTTTGACTTTAGTACTTTGTAGTCCAACTGCCATTGTAAACCACGCTTTACAGGCAGAAATATCGTGCATGGATGACAGAACGTGCGAGACAGGTGAATAATGCTCAAGAAGAACAACTCTTTCTACTTCTTCGTTCATTGTTAATTACAATTACTGTTGAATTCGCGGCACGCTGAAAAAGCTGAAACCAAAGAATATATAGATGAGTATAAAAGCACGGTTCTCGGTACCCCGCGGGTCGCACGAGCTGGGGTGCTTTGCTATAGTTTACGTCACGTATACTATACTATCTATAGCATTTCAGTATAGTGATACGTGACGTAAACTATAGGAAAGTACCCCCCAGCTCATGCGACCCGCGAGGTACCGAAAACCGTGCTTCTATACTCGTCTATATTCTTTGGTATCGTGTAGAGTCTTATAGTATCGTGGACACAAGGCTTTAGACCGGGTCTACAATAGGTAATTTAAGGGTCGGCAGGAGTAAAGTCACTAGATTACAAAGTACCGCAATTAGGGGGAAAAAAACTGCCATTTTGACTCCACGCAACGCGGCCGTTTCTGGAAGAAGGTCATAACAGGTTATAAAGACTGCACTTAAAGTAGAGATGATTTACACAATGTATACACTATCTACACTTTTCGACACCATCTTGAGGGTGCGATTACATGGACGCGCGGAAACGCGGAAACGCGGAAACGCGGAAGAGAAAGTAACTAAACTTTACTAGAGTCCCGCATTTCCGCGCGTTCCGTTCCGTCTGTTTTGATTGCCTTATATTACATGGAGCACATTTTGAGCGGAAAAGCGGAACGGTATAGTGACAAATAGACATTTGTATTAATTTTTTAAATTTATATTTACTTAATTCATTGTAATTCCTTTTAATATGTTCATCTTTTCAACTTATCTATTGAATACAAGCATTTTAATCAATAAATATAGTTAAATATTAATATTTTATAATTCCCCGTTCCGCTTTTCCGCTCAAAATGTGCTCCATGTAATATAAGGCAATCAAAACAGACGGAACGAAACGCGCGGAAATGCGGGACTCTAGTAAAGTTTAGTTACTTTCTCTTCCGCGTTTCCGCGTTTCCGCGTTTCCGCGCGTCCATGTAATCGCACCCTGACTCCCATGTATCTTATGAATTGCGTTACTTTGTAATCTAGTAACTTTAGGCACAAGGCTTGGTAGAGACTTCTGTCGGCCGGCCGGGAATTACAGATTCTTAATTTCTAGATATTAGCCAAAATACTTCATGAATCTCATTAAATTTAGGATATTCTTAATCAGTAAGCTTATATGTAGTCCTCTAAAGAGCTATTTTATGAAAAAAAGATAAAAATAAAAATATTTAATAAACTTGGGAAAATGGGCAGCAAGGAACGAGTAAGGTTAGCTGCGAGTCCTTATTTAATTTATTATCAATTTTTAAGAACAAAAATGTAAAATCCGGCTCTTTGGAGGACTGCTTTATTATATAAAGAATATATTTTAAAAAATCCATGAAATTATGTCACTTATTTTATGCAATATCTGGACGATAAGATTCTCACTAGATTCATAAGGAGCAGGGGAAATTTCCGTGCTAACATACTGGCTGCTTGACAAGAAGAGAGTATCAGTCTGTCTTTGTCTCTCTTGCATCTGAAAACTCGAGTTCAAGTCTATCTGGTATAATAATTTTTTTTTATAATACATTAGAATATATAAAAATTATTTTAAAAATATATATTTTTAAAAACAATTTGTAAGAATTTTTTAATATTGAAAATATTTCAATAATTTTACAACTATAACACACATTGTATATATATAAATGCAAAAGAATTCCGTAAATAAATTAATCCAATATTTTCTATATTTTAAGAACTTCAATTTGTCTTTACAAAAAATATATTTTTAATAATTTTTATATATTTTAATAAAAAAAATGTTGATACCGATAGATTTGAACCCATACAGCACCGATAGATTGCAAAAACATTACAACAATCTTTCACTGCAATATTGCAATATTGCAAATTCACTGCAAAATGTTGCTACATCATTGCTGTTGAATTGCAGCAATGTTAAAATGTCCGCTTTTTGGAAGATTGCAACAAAATATTACAACAATATTGCAATGTTATGAGTTTGCAATAATGCATTGTTATTGCAACCATAAACTAATGTTGCATATACAGGTATATAAATGTAAATAAATCATTAATGAAAATACGTTGTAGTTAAATGTTATCTATATTTTTGTTTATTGCAATGTAATCACAAATAAATATAATCACAGTCGATTATATATAATCACAAATAAATATTAATCACAGTTGATTATATAATCATAAATATAATCACAATCGATTAATCGAAACTTAAAGATAATTTTAAATTTGGCGTATGGGCTAGCATTAATTGCCCACTAGCTATAAAGAAACTTAAAGATAGTAACGACGTAGAGTTTGAACCATAAACTATATAATTCCAAACATAACATTTGAGCCTTAAAACATAGTTTGTTTTCAGTTAAGAGAACTTAAAAATAAAGATAAGGAATTATGTTAAAACAAATAAAGTAAATCATTGAACATAAAAAAAACTTAGAAAGAGCATTATAAATATTATAAACTTAACGAGGCTGATTTTCCTTTCCTGTTAAGGATCTGTAAAAATAAAATAATATTAAAATTCATATACTTACATAAAAAAAAATAAATTAATGATTTGTGTAGATAATCCTGCTAGATCAATATTAGTTTGATCTTCAATAATTCTCCTAATATGACGTTTTGAAACAGATATTTTACCTTTTAATATATTAGACATATTATACATTTAAGTTTAAGCTTGTCAGTACAAATACAAATTTTTTAAAATAAATTACATATTTTTTAGTTATATCTGTAAATGTAATATATAATTCAAATAATTCAATAATTATTAATTAAAGATGAGAGGAAATAAATCCTACATACATAAGAATGCTTACCTATTAATGAAATGCTAATATATACATATATCAAAAGTATGTACGTATTACTCAAGATATTATACGTAGAATCCTCCTTGCCAAAATGTTTAGTAATATTCTCTGAAACAATATAGTAAAAATATTTTAATATAAAAACAGATTAATTTGCCTATATTTATTTGTATATAATGTGTTGTTTATACTATTACACATAATACAAAAACATATGCTTATTCTAGAGACAAAATCACATATATCCTCTCAAAATTTCAACTTGATTAGAACAGTAATAATTATATTTATCTATTATGTGCCTTTATATATTTTCTTATTTCAATATTTCTTGCTTTCTTTCTGGTTTTCTATTTCACAATATACAAATACATATTATCTGCAATGCGACAAATGTATATGCACAGTGCGAACTGTATAAATAGTTGAAACACTCATCACAAGTAAGAAATGATAATATAAAATATACACACATAAAGCACTAGCTACAGATTTATATATATTATATTACTTTTTATGTATTATAATTATTTATTTTAACTGCTGCCTATATTTACCTCTAAAGTATCTATAGTTTCATATTACTGTATCATAGAGATATGTACATATATCCCATAGCAAAATAGAAAATTAAATAAAGCAAAATATTCACTTAAAAAATATACGAAGATATATCATAAATAAATATATAGTTTTTACTTTCCCAATCAGTCTCAGTCTCCTTGAGGTTATAGAGGTTATAGGTTCTTATTAACTTTGGGACAAGTAATTCTCTTTTATAATTACGAAATATAGATTTTTAACTTTATAGTATATCGTTATAATTAAACATAGTATTATCAAAAAAATGCTTACCTTTTCCTTTACACAGCAAAACAAGTCAATGCGAGTTACTGTACACGTGATAACCACGAGTTGCAACGGTCTACGTCTACTACGTAGCGAAGCCGGCGCCTACTATACACGCACACATGTATTGCGCAGAGCGTTCGGCGCAGAAATTTAAGCCAATGATTTAATAAAATTATTGATTATCGTTAACATCTTTTATTGTACAATATTGCAAAAATTATTTTATTACAGTATTATACCCAGCAAATACCAAGTTACAGTTATATAATTGTTAGTTGTAATTTTCCACTCAACAATATAATTGTTATAATTATACACGTATTATATTTTTGAGTGGGAAATTACAACTAACAATTATATAGCTGTAATTTGGTGTTTGCTGGGTACATGTATATATATTACAATATATAAATTATAGAATTTGGATTACATGCAATATTTCCGAAATATTAATGTCATGTTGCTACAAGTGTGCTGGAATTTTGTGCACCTATATCTCTGCAATGTCTTTATAATGTTGCATTGCAACTTGCAACATTGCAACGTTGCTGCAATATAATTGCAATAATCTGTGCTGTATGGGCGAGTTTTCACGGTGTTTTCATACTAATTTATATAGCAGAAATTATTAATATCAATATAATTAAAAAGTAATTAAATAATACATATTTATTAGTCTATAAATTTACGACATGTTCTATAACAGACTCTAGAATTGATAGTTGTTCTCTCCTTGTCTCTCTATTACGCTGACGATATGTAAAGTTGATGAAAAAGTATAAAATAAAAGAACAATCAATTGCCAAGTTTAATAAACGTCCGTGTCTTACGTTCTGAACATTGTTTACTCTTTGCATTATTATTTTATTATTATTATGTATCGTTGTACAATTTGAAAACATATGTAATTTTTGATATTATTTGCATATATATATATACACACATATGTGCATACGCATATATAAAATTTACAAAAGTGGGTGCTTATTAGCCTTGCTACATTACTGCCTTCTGCTACGGATGGCCACATAGAGATATTATATATAGAGGACGCGAGGGAGTCGAGAGCGCGATAGAGAAATAGAAAGAGAACGCTGCATATGAACCCCTGCTGTCCTTGTCTAATCGCGCATGCGCATGGCACACGTCCCCCTTCTCTCTCTGCTCATCTCTATGCTCTCGGCAGACTCGGCTATAGCTCTCGTGCTTGCTTTGCTTTGCTCAAGTGTTAGCAGAATAAGAAGAAGATTTATGTTTTTATAACAAGTTAATATAACAAACTTTCAAGATGACAAAAAAGTGTATAATTTGTAAAGAAGAAGCAAGCATAAGGTGCTTTCCAATTGTTTAACACATTTTAACACAAACATACACAGGAAGGCACAAAGTGTAGCGATGTGCACGACTCAATTGGAACAAAGTTAATATTCGACTTTTGAGTAGATAGTGAAGGATTCTTTATAACCATATCCATCTTGATATTCTATAATCCATGGCGATAGTAATGATCGAACTAATTATACGAGACTCGAGTTGAAAAATATAGGTATTTTAATATTTTATTTATTTAGCGTTTAATGTTGTATATAATTCATATATTTATAATTATAAATGCATAATATTATATTAATATATAAATATGAATGAAAATTTAATTATTAATAATATACATAACCTGCAAATATGCAAAAAATACAACTTTGTTTTATTTATTAAATATAAAAAAAATTAATTGTACAAAAACTCATTAATTCGAATTACTTACTTCAATGATACTTTTAATATTTTTATTGTTTATATTCATACTTTAGTATAAATATACTTATAATATTCTTTTAATTATTAATGTAAATATACTTTAGTCTTCTTTTGAATACAACTTTTGATAGATAAAAAAAAGAAAATTGCCAACATAACCGCCGTCAGTTTGCAACCGCACATTTAATTGTTCCTAGAAAATAGAAGATTACACAGTTGACTAGTAGCACAGATTAATAGACAGATCGCCAAAGGCCTGCCTAAAGAAGAGACCGCCATCTTCGTGCGATAGACTTTGCCCCTTACCGACACACTTTGCCCCTGGTTCGAGTCCGTGCTAAATTTCGTAGATTTGAACCAAAAGACTTTGCCCCTGGTTCGAGTCCGTGCTAAATTTCGTAGACTCGACCAAAAGACTTTGCCCCTGGTGCAAGTCCAGGCTAAATTGTTTGACATTACCAACAGACTTTGCCCCTGGTGCGAATCCAGGCTAATTGATCATGAGACCAATTTGAGAGATTTGGCCCCCGTTGTGTGTGTGTGTGAGAGAGAGAGAGAGAGAGAGAGAGAGAGAGAATATTTTACATATGCATATATATATATATAAAATTTATTAAATATAAAAAATATATTTTTTACACATAAAATGTTTTTTTATTGAAATAATCACGATTTTAAATGTGATTTAACACAGTGTTCAAAAATTTTTTAATTAAATTTTTTAATTAAATTTTATTAAAGAAAATTACTTGAAATTTTTTACATTAAGAATTTAAAGGCTCCTTATTCTCTTGTAGAAATTTATCACTACGCCAATTAATCACTTATTTCGAGTATTTAAAATACTATAATATACAGTAATTTAAGTATTCGAAATAAAAGTGATTAATTACTCGAATAAGTGATAAATTGGCGTTACTAGTAATAAATTTCTATAAGGGTTGAAATAAAGTATAAGAGATAAATAGGCTATATGTGAGCCGTATGCGAAATGTGAGATGTAAGACGCATATTAAAATTTAATTTTTCGATATAACTTTCAAAAATGTACACGAGGTACAAAAAATTAGCTTGGACATTTGTAAGACTTAAAATTGGGATTAATTCTCAATTCTATTAATTAAATTTCGATATAACACACCTTACATCCGCGCACGGCTCACATATAGCCCATTTATTAGTGCAATTTTTAAGTTCCTTATTTTTCAAAGTTCACCTTTTTACGTTATCAAATATTTTTGGTACGTTTTCAAGAATTTTATATTTTTACTTACCGCAGTTTCTTATCCAAATGTAAAATCTTTTATCGCAGTCTATAAAAAATTGAAACAATTTACAATTTTATGATATAATATTATTATTATTACAATTTCTATATATATGCACATCTGTCAAATATCGTGATTTATTTCACATTATTATTATCTATTTTAATAAAAAAAAAAAAAAAAACACTTGCAACAATCAAAAATAAACCGCCTGCCGCGAACGGAAAATGCCAAGAAAGCACGCAATTTCCGCGAATCTCGTAATTTTTTTGAAAAATCAACAATTTCAACGAAATTGTAAATTCTTCAAATCACTGCACAAGTATAATTCACAATAATAATTTTCAGTAACTACGATAAAAAATCGTATACTGAAAACCGCAAACGAAAGTGCAATGGGAGTAAGAGTAAAGTCTGTGATAAAATTAATTGGCAATAGAAAATTAATAATTTTCAAATAGAAAAATTTTGAAATTACCGAGGATTTACAAATAATAAAGTAAAAATATTAAATAATTTATGTTTTCGAATTTTGCTCGCGGAGAGGATCTTTAAAACAAGATTTTTAGAAGAGAGGACCTTTAAAATATAAACAGGCAAAAACGTTGGAAAAATTAAAGCGCGCGTTTAAACAGATAAACGCAATGAAATAGATACGCAATTGTTTTTACTTATCGCTGTAAGCTCACAAGCTTCTGACGTGCTATACACTTTTATATAATATATACAGGGTGTCCGGTAACTAACGGACCAATGATTAAGGGCGGATTCTCTGGCCAATTTGGAGACGATTTTTCCTTAGCAAAAATGTAGAGAAGTCAATAATTTTCGAGTTATAAGCGATTGAAAAAAATAGGTTTTTTGAAAACTAAACGTTTTGGAGTTAAAAGTCTAACATAATTACATTCTTCAGTTAATTTCAGGTAGAGTTTACTATAATAAAATTTTAATTTAAGGCTTAGTTATAAAGATATATAATGACAAAGATTGGAAAGTTGTAAAAAATGATGACCTTTTTCGACATTTTCGCTGAAGAAAAATCGTTCCCAAATTGACCAAAGAATCCATTTGTAATCATTGGTCTGTTAGTTACCGGACACCCTGTATATTGGACACGAGTTTCGTTTGTTTCAGATTCTCGAGAGTTGAAGTAGGAACATACGAGTATCATATATCGTTTGTGACTTGCCGAATGAAAGCAAGAGAGCGAACGAGATGATGAGCTTAATAGCTCATAATGTTATAAATAAATAAATAAAAAATTATAACCTGACCTACTAGTTATTGAATCTTTTTTTAATAAAATGTTTCATTATTATTATCATCTAAGTCTAAGTCGTTTAATTACTTTTTAGTTTTTTAATAATTAATTTAATTTATTCTAGTCATTTTTATATGAGAAAAATAATATCACGTATACGTTTTATAATGAATTAATATATTTCGGGAACCGAATTATATATTCTTAATAATATAAAAGTGTTCAAAAATTATATTTGACTTTTAATTTTAATTATTTTTTAGCAAAGAGTTCCGAAATCTCTTACACACATAATGGGGATTTTTTTCATCCATATAATTCGCAATTAAGTATATATGTTAATTATTAATTTTAATAAAATAAAAATTAAAATTAAAGGTCAAATATAATTTTTAAACACAAATATATTAAATTAATTATAAAACGTATACCCATGATAGTATTTTTCTCGTACAAAAATAATTAGAGTAAATTAAATTAATCATAAAAGATTAAAAATTAATTAAAGAATTTAAACTTATATTTTATATAATAATAATAAAACATTTTATTACGTCAAACCGTCGTGAAATAATTAAATAAAATTTGCTAGTTACGTCAAAGTCAAGTTTTCTAAGCTTATAAAACATTTTATTAAAAAATAGATTCAATAAATATAAGTGCATGTTATATATATACTTATATTTATTGAATCTGTTTTTTTTTATAAAATGTTTTATTATTATCATATATAATATAAATTATTTAATTATTTTTTTATTTTTTTATGAGTAATTTAATTTATTCTAGTTATTTTTGTACGAGAAAAATACTATCACGGGTATACGTTTTATAACGAATTAAATATATTTATGTTCAAAAATTATATTTGACCTTTAATTTTAATTTTGTATTTTATTG